TTAACAGTACAAATGGTGTTGTGCATATTATACAAAATATTTCATGGATATTATATGAAATATTCTTTAAGGAGCAATTTGTTCCAGTTCCGATGGATGGAATAACAGATGCTTAAAGGGAATATTTTACCTGATACAAGTGAAGAAAAGTTTAAGAAAGCAATTTGTCTCCTCCTGTGGAAAAATGCAACACCTTTGTCCTGTAAATCGATCAGCTTTGACATCTTACCCCTGAATAAAAACAAAATGTCCGCAACCTTTCCCTAAGGCAAAGAGGCAATTTTTATCATTTTCTGCAATTGTCTCTTTACTTGTCAAGGACCGATGCCGGTCATTTGTAGCGCATCAGTTTGAAGAGTCCTTCATTGCCTGAGGTTACTTTGAATGTCTCACAGTGCAATGACATCTTAAATAACAACTCAGGGGCTTGTTTAGTTTGTCACCAGGCTGTAAACTGTCTAACTCCCTTGTCTTTTGCTCATTGTGACCATTAGTTTCACTTGAGTATGTAGTAGACATGTTTAAGATGCTAATAGTAGATTGACTCACAGAGGCCTTTTCTGCCGATAGGTGTGGTCAAATTTAGCATTGTTCAGTGAGTTTTGGCTGGCGAAATCCAGTCATTTTAAAAAGAATCCACCTAAATGGGAATTTCACATGAGGGCGAAGAATCCCAAGCAGATTTCGCAAAAGGTAAAAGTTGGACACACGGATTTGCCACACTGACCAACAAAAAGCTGCTTGGTTTGAAAGTGACTTCTATGTGAGGATCATGCATTACTACGCTATTGACAATACACAATGGACCTTTTTTTTGCCCACAAAATTTAGTCTAAAATTCACAAATGTGACCACACCTTAAGACTCTTGAAACGGTCAATGATACTGTTTTTCTTTGTTGCTGTAGGAGGTTTCTTTTAACTCAACCTTTCCCTTCTACTCTAATCTGAGATGCAAACTGCTGAACCGTTTCCGTTAATGAGGTTGTTTGTCACTGTTGCGGGGCAATAGGAAATGAAGTAGCAGAAAAAGAGAATATTGTTCCTAAACTCTCACCCATTTCAGAGCCCTAAAAATATGGTACAAGAGTCAACTAGATGTGAAACTCTTTCTATGTCTGAGAGTTTCACATCGATTGAGTCGACAGAAACTGTGTGACTTTGTGCCATATTTGAAGACATTTTCATTTTATATATGTGCTTTTATTTTCTGAGAATTCCGGTAGGGATCATAGGGTAAATTCTAAATCCATGCATAATTCTGCTGACTGTGTCTAAAATTTTTTCTTCCCAAATGCTTAGCCGTGTTTACCTTCTCCCTTTCAACTGATAATTTAAAGAACTGGTGACCCAGCAAAAAGTTGATATATTTAAGGAGACTGTAGAGTTTTGTATTGCAATGTGACTTCACCGTGGTCTTGTGTAATAGCATGTTTTCCTTTTCTGAGAGTTCTGTTGAGACAAGGAATAGCTGACGGCTGCATTTCATCACTAGTTCATAACAACAGTGACTTATCCTAATTATTTTAACCTCCTGTGTTCATTTATTGTGCCATTTAATGTTTGGATGATATTAATGAATGAATACATGATGATTTATTCTTATTTATATATATAAAAAATATCATTCAAGATATTCCTGGCATGCAAACATTAAAAATGTAAAAAGTTGGTGTAAGAAGTCTTTCAGCCATGTCTGGCATGACCAGATCAAATTAACCCTATAATTATCCCACCTGCTCTATAGATTACTGTTCCCCTTCTAGAACAGCCACACGCACAGCAGTAAATATGCTTAATTATTCAGCAGTTCTCCAAAATGGATTCTCTTCTCTTCATGGGAGTGCAAGAATAATTGCTTTCTTTGCAATTAACAAACACTGACAGCTAATTTACAGAAACACAAGCTGATTGAAGCTCATTTTGGTTATGTAAGAAGTCATGTACTTCATATAACACACCCTTGAAAGAGCGTGATTCAGTCTGGCTTGTAAAAGCTGAGCTTTTTAATACAGATTTTCATATTCAATTCCAAGGACATGTATTGCTTTTTCTAAAGCAGATTAGCTGATGGTAGTACAACATCACGGCCCCTAACCTTCACCCTTAACCCTTTGCAGGTTCATCACTGTTGAAATTAGGTGATGTGACCTCTGATGTTGCCTGTTATGTTCAGCTAATCAATAGAAGAGTCTCTGCTATTATTTTCCATAAGCCTTTAGGTTACTTTTGAAGTGGACATTCACATGAGACCTTGGTGATATAAACTAACTCTCATTGCTCTGTTGTGTCCTCTAAATGTCGGATACGCCTCCCACCAGTGCAGTGCCCATAAAAGACTGCTGTTGGTCTCTATTCTCTCCCTGATGTCCCTGATTACTGTTTGGGTGCACTCTGCAATGATTCATTTATCAGATAAGCAAAGGAGGTATTCAGAGATATGATGTGTCATGCTTATAAATACGGGAGCCCTCATGAGAGGCAGCCTGGAGATTAATTTGAATAATTTGCTTGTGGATTTTTTCAACCCGACTTGTTTTCATGAACTTTATTTCTGTCTAGATTAGCCTATGTCATATTTTTGCAACCCTAGCAAGTTTTCATTTAACTTTCCGAAAATATACATTACCACTCAAAAGATTGGGGTTGGTAGGATTTTTAAGTCTTGTGCTCACCAAGGCTGAATTTATTTGATTAAGAATACAGTGAAACCAGTAATTATGTGAAATATTTTTACACACTAACTGTTTTTTGTTTTTAGTTTCTATTTTGAAATGTAATTTATTCCTGTGATCCTTCTTTCTTTCTTACTTTCTTTCTTTCTTTCTTGAACAGTAGTATGAACATAATTTCTTAAACATAAAACTTTTTTAAAACAGATTTGTAGCAGAATTCCAACAATAGACAACACTGAAAGCACTTCTCTGTCAGCTTTTCCACAGTGTTTGGATTTGTGCAAATGTAAAGCTGTCTCATTAGATGACAGTGTTTTGGCTGATGCCAGGGCCGCCCTGTCTTCCCTGATAAGGGTCCCAGAGGCTTAGTCCCTCGCTCACAGAGACTGATAAGTAGGGGAAAATCTCTGAGCTGAGGCGGCAAGAATGTGAATTTATTCTCTTGGGCAATTCAGTGATGATTACTACAGACACTGTGCCGATCTGGTGACTGACACACGTGAACGCGAGGACGGTTGAGGGTCCACTACTGATACACTGGCAGTTTTCAGGTGTTGATGGGATCCACAGACAAAAAGTAGTGTCTTATGCTCACGCAGGCTGCATTTTTAAATAAAAAATGTAGTAAAAACTAATAATGTGAAATATTACAATTTAAAATAACTGTTTTCTATTTTAATGTATTTTAAAATGTAATTTATTCCTGTGATGGAAAAGCTTAATTTTCAGCAGCCATTACTCTAGTTTTCAGTATAACACAATCCTTCAGATATCATTCTAATATGTTGATTTGCTGCTCAAGAAACATTTATTATTATCAATGTTGAAAACAGTTATGCTGCTTACTTATGTGGAAACCATGATATGTTTTTTCATTATTCTTTGATGAATAGAAAGTTTAAACAGGGTTCCCATGGGTCCTTGAAATACTTGAAAGTTTGTGAATCTGAAAAAAAAATTTCAAGGCCCTGGAAAGTTTTTGAAAATAAACATACATAGATACAGGTCCTTGAAAGTGCTTGAATTTATTTTGTGCAAGAAGTTTTCTGGAAAAAAATCCATATTATTCCCTCTGGTCCGCTAATGTGTTATTTCGCCAACACTTCATGGCCTATGCATACTAGCTTGCTTGATTTACGTTAGTTACGCGCATTTTACGCGTTCCGTTAATTGTTTCCCGCGTGAGATACTTTGTGTTGTATATGGCAAGACAAAAGAGTCAGAATTAAATTTATGCCGTTAAATACTGCGTTTTTTTACCGTTTATGCACGGTTTTTATGGCGTCTGCTATCAGGACGACATATTTGACGGCGCTAATGCTGATTTAAACGCAGAAAAAAAACAGCGTTTTGTATGTAAATGCGATTTATCTATAGCGTAATTCTGACTCTTTTGGCTTGCCATAGTTGTACGTTGCCATGACGTTCACGTGCGCATGAAACTACTACAATGGTACCTTAACGTTTCATAGACACACCGTGAAATTAATGTTGATTTGCTTTGCTTGTTAAGATAATGTTAACCCATGAGGCAAGAAAAACTTATTCATATATCTTAAAACTTCTGGTTAAATTTGCCTAAGCTCTTTTCAATAAAATCCATGCAAAAGTTAATATCAGATCATTTTAGAATACAGTATAGGATGTACCGAATATTCTTCAGTTTTATGCAAAACAGAAATACGACAAATAGAATATCAGATCTCTGTCATATGGGCAAAAAAAAGCGCTTTTTTTTGCATAGTTGTTTGACACATGAAAACTGTAACAATGTATCTTACAATGTAACACCGTGTAACCTTGATCTCACTTGAAATGTGTCCCCACATTAAGTCCTTGAATTTGAGGGTATTGGAACTGGAAAATCCTTGAAAGGTCCTTGAATTTTAAGTTAACCAGGTGTGGGAACCCTGTTTAAAAGAACATCATCTATTTGGAATAGAAATCTTTTGTAACAGTATACATGTCTTTTGTTATTTTTGATCAATTTAATGCATTCTTGCTGAATAAAATTATTAATTTATTTAAATAAACAACTGTCATCTAATGAGACTGGCTCCAAACTTTTGAACAGTGGATTCAACATTGATAACCACAGTTTGAGCATAAATTGTGAAACTGAACGGTCAGTTTTAGGAATTATGGATCTACAATATTTAGAAGATCTGGAATGGCATTGAACAGTGACAATGTTGGACATAGGCTCATAGTTCTCCACTCCTCCCCTCATAAGATTTATGGATGTGTCAGCCATTTGAAGTGTCGCATAGTGCTAATGCTAATCTGCTATTGTTTTATGCAGTGCTCTGTGTGTGTCTTTCTACAGGGTTCTTGGCAGTCAATGGGATGATAGTGAAGCGGGTTGGAGTCTGGATTGAAGGAGCATGGTGAAGCACCAACCATTACAGGTCTATGAGAGACAGCTGTGTTTGTCATGTCTAACCGGGATCTACGGATGCCGCTGGAAACGCTACCAGCGGTCACATGATGACACCACCAAGGTGAGTTATCCCGTCGCCAAGCCATCTGGACTTTATTACAGCTCAAATCCCACAGCTAATATTTTAGATGTCACATTTTAGTTCATCACACATATGTTATTTGACCTGAGTGTTTATGTGAACAGTTTTGATGTGGTGAAGTGTTTCGACAGATTTTCATGAACATTATTTAAGGCAGGTTCACACTGCCCCCAAAAAACTGTAATGATTCAAACAAGCAAACGTTGACTTTTCTGATTCTTAGTCATTGCATAATGATCTTAGTTTTAGAAGACTGATTCAAACCCAATAAAGAGTCATTTTAACTGATTTGTTTAAAAGAACATAAGTGATTCTTTTGCTAATCAGACTATGCTGAACCACCTACGCAGTCCTTTAGAAAACGTTTAAGTAACAACCTATACATATGCAGATGGTTTTAAAAGTATAATACACTCTTAAAAATAAAGGTTCTTTATTGGCTTTGATGGTTCCATGAAGAACTTTTATAATGTTCTTCATGGTTCTTATGGTTCTTTATAATGGAAGGTTCTTCCAATTATTAAAATATTATTCACATTAAAGGGGTCCTATTATGCTCTTTTACAAAGTCTTGATTTTGTTTTGGGGGTGTACTAGAACATGCTCTCATGCTTGGTGGTTCGAAAAACGCATTATTTTTCACATAATTTACATTATTAAAATACCTTTCTCCCCAGGCTGGCACAAACG